ACCCCCCTCTCGGCCCTCTCCCCGCTCACCGCGCCCCTCCGCCCGCGTCCCAGCTCGCCATGGCCGCCGTCCCGGACTGGAAGCGGCAGCTGCTAGCCCGGCGCCGGCAGGAGGAGGCAGCGGCCCGCGGCCGGGGGAAGGCGGAGCAGGAGCGCCTGGCCCAGATGCCAGCCTGGAAGCGGGGACTCCTGGAGCGGCGCCGCGCCAAGCTCGGACTCGCCCCGGGGGACCCGAGCCCCGGGGCTGCGCAGGCGGAGCCCGGCCGGCCCGACCCCGACGAGTCCGCCGTCCTTCTCGAGGCCATCGGGCCGGTGCACCAGAACCGCTTCATCCGGCAGGAGCGGCAGCAGCAGCAGCAGCGGCATGAAGACCTGGCAGAGAGGAAGCCCGGGCCGCCCGAGCCCCGGGAGCGCAGACCCAGCTCGGGGGAGTCTCGGGACCAGAGCCCCAGGGGCAGAGAGGCCAGAGAGGAGAGGCTGAGCCCCGGGGAGGCCGGGGAGAGGAGGCTGGGGGCTGGCGCGGCCCGGGAGTGCAGCCCCAAGCCTTGGGCAGCCCGAGACTGGCGGCAGAGCCCGGGGGAGGGAGGAGACCGGGGCTCCAGGCTGCCCGAGGCTTGGCGGTGGAGGCTGAGCCCCGCCGAAGCGCCGGAGCGGAGCCCGAGACCAGCGGAGCCCGGAGAGCAGAGTCCCGGCAGCCGCGAGGTGGCGGAGGGGAGGCTGGGCCCCGGGGAGCCCGGCAGCCCGAATCCGGGCCTGGCAGAGCCCTGCGCGCGGGGCGCTGGCTCCAGAGAGGCCCGGGAGCACAGCCTAGCGCGCCTGGAGGCGGCAGAGTGGAGGCTGCACGCGGGAGGAGAGAGAGAAGACCTCGGGGAGGAATGTGGGGGGAAGGAGGAGCGCCCGGCTCCACGGGAGGCTCCGGAAGAGATTTCGGGGTCCGCGGACACCCCGAGCGGAGCGCCCCAGGACAGCATCTCCAGAGGCACGGAGCCGGCAGAACAGAGGCCCCGCCCCGTGGAGGACGGAGAGAGGGGCCTGAGGGCCACCGAAGGGTGGAAGTGGACGCTGAGCGCTGGGAAAGCTCGAGAGCGGACAGCCAGGGACTCGGACGCTCCGGGCCCGAACGCAGAGCCTCCCGGGCCCGCTGCGCAGCGGCTGGAGCCTCAGGGCGTGGAGGCTGGGGAAGGCGAGGCCGAGGAGGCGGCGGCGGCGGCTCAGAGCGGGCCTCCGACAGGCTCCCAGGACCTCGGCGCGGCGGCGCCCTGCCCCCTGCCCCCAGAGGACGCCGGGACCGGAGCAGGCTCGGGGCAGCGGCAGGAAGGGGAAGCAGCAGCGCCGCAGCCCCCACCCCCAGCCCCGGCTGCCCCCCAGCCCGCCGCGGATCCCCTCATGAGCCGCCTGTTCTATGGGGTGAAGGCAGGGCCGGGGGTGGGGGCCCCGCGCCGCAGCGGACACACCTTCACGGTCACCCCGCGCCGCGCCGCGCCCCCCGCCAGCCCGGCCCCAAGCGAGGCCGCGGCCCCGGGCGCTGGGAAGAAGCGCTACCCGACTGCCGAGGAGATCTTGGTGCTGGGGGGCTACCTCCGGCTGAGCCGCAGCTGCCTGGCCAAGGGGTCCCCCGAGAGACACCACAAACAGGTAGGGGAGCAGCCACGCCAGGCTCCTTCCAGCCCCTGTCCCTTCTCTCCGCCCTCGGGACCTCTCACTTTGTACCTCGTGCCTGTCCTCGTCTATTCTCTCCCACCGGGCAAGCTCCCTGCCTCCCTGCACACACCTCCCGCGGTGCCATCCATCCGCCTGTGTGGGTGGTCATTTTCGGGGTGTGCCCGGGCTTCCCTCCCCAGCTCTTTGCTTTCTTTGGGGTCTGGGAGCGCCAGGCCTGTCTGGAGAGGGGTGCGGGATGACAGCCTGGAAGTCGGGGCCCAGGCCTCGGTTCAGGCTGGGGGGGGGGGGCTGCCAGCCCCAGGAGAGGGGTCCATTGAGTGGGGGCATCGCAGGACAGACGGGGAGGCCTCGGGCCAGCCGGCCGGAGAGCAGAGACAGGCTTTGAGCTCAGGCAGCCGCGGCAGAGGCGCACACAGAGCCAATTGACGGGGTGACCCTGGGGTCGCACACCCCAGCTGGGCCGAGCTGCACACAGTGGCACTCTCTTGGGGACAAGAAGCGCCTTTCTCCGCGGTCCAGATCCCCACCCGCTGCCCTGCACTTCCTCCCTGGACTTCCCCCGCTCCGCCAGCACTGGCTGTACCATTGGTTTTCCCCTTTCTTCCCGCCACCCCGCCTCCTTCCTCATGGGGTAGAAAAGAGAAGGCACAGGGCTGGCGTCGGGAGTGGGCAGAGGGGCAGGGGTTGGGCTTGGGCCGGCTCCTTCCGCCCAGCGCACTCGGCCTTCCCTCTGCGGGGAGCGGCTGGGACCCCACAGTGCCTGCCCCTCAAGGCTCCTCATGCGCATGTTCACGTCCTCAGATTTGGTGTTTGTGTCCTCTGTCAGGGACTACAGAGGGGAGACGGCTTAGGAGTCCCCACTCATCCTCACAGCAGTTGAAGCTCCTGCCCGGGGAGCCCCCAGGGCCAGGCAGGGGGCATCAGGAGGAAACTCCCGGGATGAGGTGTTCAGGAGTCACTTCCAGAGCCGCTCGGGGAAAGAGCAGAGGGAGGGTGACACTCAGGGCCCCAAGGCCACGGGCTGGCGGAGGAGAGCCAGGAAGGCTGTGCGGGCAGGACCCGTGCTGGTGACCGTACCTGGGTCAGGGAGTAGGGCCGGAAGCAGATCGCCCAAACAGGAAGCCTGGGTGGGGGCCGGAAGGCTGGCGGGGCTGCGTGGGGGACTCAGGGCCTCAGGCCTGGCAGGACTGCGCTCAGGATGTGGTGAGCGGGTGAGGAAGCAGCCGGCGTGGGGGTGGGGAGGAGGCAGCAGGGCTCCCCACCCCGCCCTTGCTCCCCAACTGCTCCTCCGGGATTTGGCACCCCGTCCCGCCCCTGCCCTGACCCGCTAGATCAGAGGAGAGCGGCTGTCCCTGCACCCCAGGGTCCTGTAACTCCTGCCCGGCCATCAGACGCATCCCTGCCTGCGGGAGAGACTTAGCCCTGGGGCAGCCCGGGCACTTCAGCCGGCGCCCCTCCCCGCTCGGCCTGTGACCTTATATAGCTGGTGGCAGGAGCGTGAGTCACTGCCGTCCCCACCCCTCCCCGCCCCCACCCCTGCAGGCTGTGCATTCCTGAGCGACTGGCTCAGAAGGTGGGGGAGCCACAAAGATACTGCAAAGGGGACACAGATTGAAGACAGAATTGGGTCCCCAGAAACATGTCCATCACAGAGCCAGCGGGGCTGGGAGCAGGCCTTGCTGTCGCTTGGTTCCACCGGCCTTGCAGCCTGGGTCCTCTCAGACCTCATCTGCGGTGTGGACAGACCCTCACCTGGTGCATTGTGGCAGCTTTCTGGGCCTGGCCAGCAGCAGGCACAAGGATAAGGACACCTGCCCTCCGTCAGAGGGTTCCAGATCCGTGGGATCACCCAAGGGTGGATCAGAAAGAGTCCAGGAAAAAAATTACACAGCCCCAGGGCAGGAAAATTGCAAGTTTGAGGCCTGCCTGAGCTATCAGCAAGTTCCAGACTAGCCTGAACTACATAGTAAAACCCTAGGGTTTTTTTTTACTTAAAAAAAGAATCACGGCTGTACTGAACATGTACAGACTTCTGGTCATTCTGCCTTACACAATACAGCATAACAGGCATTTACAGAGCATTTTCACT